AAAGGGTTTGCTATCGTCCCCCTTGCGCCCGTCTATCTCGGAGTGAGCGAAGCCGAGCTGTTGCAAGTTGTCAGCGTCTGAACACTGCATAAACACCACGTTATACCACAATGTACCGCACTACACCCCCCCGGGCTCCCTTTCCCCTTTCGCCCCCTCAGATATACCGTGACAACCCCCCCTGCAACACGCTCTATCTCGGCAACCTCGGCCCGGGAGTGAGCGAAGCCGAGCTGTTGCAGATTTTCAGCGTGTGAGTGCCTTGGTTTGTTTGAGCTTTGGTTCTTAACGTCCTCATGTTGCTCTGCTTCAACTTTCTGATTCATTCTCTTGTTCTTCCCGTTTGTGTTACCCTTTATAGCCACGGTTTTTGCTTTCTTTTTGTTCAGTCTGCAAGGTCCAATCAGCTTACTGAATCTGCTTCGTTACAGTGTCCCTTACCTTCTCACTCACAATTTTACAATCTTGTTACCCTAGCCAAGCTTAGGTACTAACTTCGCCTCGTTATTGAATCTGCTTAACTAGTACCCTGGCTTTTGAGGCGCCTCAAAAGTCGCTTCAGTAGTGCCCTGGCCGTACGTAGGTCGTACCCTGCCAGAAGACACTACTGAAGCGTCGTACGACCTAGGACTTACGGTCAGGGTGGCAATGCATTCTAGTGTGATGGAGTGTAACTACCGCCTTCATTCACTTCGTTATCGAATCCGCTTCACTAGTACCCTGGCCATATGTAGGTCGTACCCTAGCAGAATGACTTTTGAGTCGACTCAAAAGTCACCTTGAATCAGCTTCAGTAGTACCCTGGCCGTACGTAGGTTGTACCCTGCCAGAAGACACTACTGAAGCGACCTACGACCTACGGTCAGGGTGGCAATTAATTTTAGTGTGATGGATTGTAACTACTGCCTTCATTGCCTTCGGTATTGATTTCGCTTTGTGTTACCCTTTACAGCCATGGTTATAGCCAGCCACAGCCTTTCAAGACACTGGCAAGTAGTGTTCAAGTGGTTTTTGAGAATTCTCAAAAACCAGTGGTGTTCAAGTGTGATAGAATGTAGCCACTGCCTTTTCACTGAGGCGCCTCAAGATTCACCTTTTTTTTTTTTCTACGCTCCAAAAATCAAGACACTGGCAAGTAGTTCAAGTGTGATGGAGTGTGATGTGACCGTTATCTTCATACTTTGTGCTTCGTCGTTTCCCTGTTCTCTCCCCCTGGCTTCTTGTCCTCGTTACAGGCAGCCTGGTTATGTGCAGCTGAGGCTGCATCGACAGGGAATGAGCACTTGCTGCTTTGTTCAGTTCGTTGTGAGTGTATTTCCCTGATCCTCCGAAGTACTGCGAAAGTCATTCTGTTGTTGTTGTTGTTTTATTTTTTGAAGTTAAATACCGTTTTTTTTTCTCTCCCTATTTTTTGTTAGGGTATTTCCAGGATATCGTTTTCTGGGAATTTGTCCCATTTCTCAAGCCGCTTCTCACATTATGTTCTTTCTCAGCCGCCTCTCCCTTCCACCCCTCCCCCCACTCTCCCTCATCAGGACGTGGAGGCAGCATCAGCAGTGCACACGGCGCTGCAGGGGGGTCATTCTCGCATCCTCTTTGCCTCACTCAACCCGCTCCGTCCTCTCCGCTCCCCTCCTGTTTATTCCTTCCTCCCTCCCCGCTCTTCATTAGGACGTGGAGGCAGCATCAGCAGTGCACACAGCGCTACAGGGAATTAGTCTCGCCTCCTCTGACCGAGGGCCCGTGCGCGTGCAATATCCTCCCCACCACCACTCCCCCACTGCCTTTACACACACCCTCCCTGCCCCCATGTCCTCCTGCCCTCCTTTCACGTCAACGTGCCTCTGTGCCCTTCCCCTGATTTCGTTCCCCCCTTCTCTTGCACTCTCCTCCGACCTACTGCGCTTCTTTTTTACTGACTCACATTCTTTTCCACGCTTCCTATTTCTTTCTCCTGACTGCTCACTCCCATTCGCTCCTATAGTTTTGAAGGCTCTTTTGTTTGCTTTTTTTTGGCACTATCTCTGCCCAGTCAACAAGCTGCTGACCCTCCTCATTCTCCCCCCTTGCTTCATAGTTTGATAATGTAGCTTTTCTTAACTCCTCCCTCTCCATCTTATCCCCCGCCTCCTTTCTCTCGCTCTCTCTTTCGCTTCCTCTGACTCCCTGTCTCTCTCGCTCTCTTTCTCCTTCTTTCTCCCCCTCCTCCTCTCCCTCGCTCTTTCTGCCTTCTCTCTCCCTCTCCCCATCCTCATCTCTGTCTTTCTCGCCATTGCCCCCTAGCACATTCTCTCGCACTCCGCTCGGGCAGAAGGGTCACAGGGCAATGGAGAGGGAAGGCAGAGACGCTATAGGGGCTGTAGGGGCAGCAGGGGCACCAGGGGCAGCAGGGGCAGGGGTAGAGCCGCCACCAGCAGGCACGGCGGGGGAGCAGTAGATGTGTAGAGGAGTGCAGGGGTCTTCTGTGTGGTGCAGAAGGGTTACAGACAGAGCGATGGAGTGGGAGACGAGGGACGCAAAAGCAGGAGAAGGAATAGGGGTAGAGGCTAGAGCCACTGGCAGGAGGCACGGAGAAGACATGGAGGAAGGGTATCATCAGGGGTGCAGGGACGGCAGCGGCAGCAGGGGCAGGAGAAGAGGTAGAGCTGCCATAAACAACAGGCATGGAGGAGGAGTGTTGTGCAAACACAAGGTGACTTCTGAGTCGACTCAAATGTCACCTCGCTGCCATAAACAGGCATGGAGGAGGAGTGTTGTGCAAACACATTGCGGAGCAGAACGTAGGATTACATGATGCAGAAGTGAATGGGCGGGAAGAAGTGGAATTCTCCCTTCTGGAGAGCCAAGAGACGCTGCAGAGAGACTTTGCTGGGACTCTGCAGGCAGACTCAGAGACTCTGCCGTTCACATGGCGGGTACCCGCCTAGGTAAAGTGGCCCTCTCTCTCATCGCCAAGCGTTGCAGTTATGGTAAGCTTTGCCTAGGTGATTCACGGCTCTGCACACACGCACGCTCACAGTGCCTGTGAATGTGTGTGGTTACCACTGCCTGCACCCACACACTGTCTGATTTGTTTCAAATGCCTGAGATGCACTCGAGCTTTTACACTCACTAGGCTTTACTGTTTCACAGGCGCAGTCCTTTGTTGCGGCTTGCAAATTGCAAAACACGTTTGAATAGGGAGCGATGTCGTATGCTCTTTCTGCACAAGCATGCACTAGTGTAAGGATACGTTTAGGACCACCACCAACATTACCCGCACGAGGACCAACACCAGCACTGGCAGCTGTAGGAGCAGTTGCACAGAGCCAGTTAAAACACCAACACTCAGAGCACCACCAGTGGCAGCACCAGTACCACCAGCACCAGCACCAGCACCGGCACCGGCAGCTGTAGGAGCAGTTGCAGAGAGCCAGTTAAAACACCAACACTCAGAGCACCACCAGTGATACCAATGCAAGCAATGGGAGCAGCAGCAGCAGCAGTGGCACGGGCAGCACAAGCAATGATGTCAGCACAAGCAATGATGGCAGCACTCACACCACCGCCATCATCACTAGCATCACCACCTGTCTCATCACCACCACCAGCACCAGCACCAGCAGTGCTGTAAGCGTTAGCACCCCCACCCCACAGTCACCACTCCTTGAGGTGCCAGCATAGCCACCAGCAAAGGTGCACACAGCAGCGCCACCAGCAATGGCAGCAGCATCATCACTGGTCACAGCCCCAACACCAACACTAACACGAACAACCAGCACCAGCACCAGCACCAACACCAACACCAACACTAGCAGCACTCCCACCAGCACTGCACACTGTGCTGCAGCATTGCCACTAGTGGCACCAACACTTGGCACCACCACCAGAAGCACCACAAGCACCAGCGGCAGCACCAGTTTTGTTACAACCGCACGGCACCAACACGTTCAGTTGCCTGCCGCACCAGTCATGTCAGCAGCAGCCTCAACGTCCCTTTGGATCAACTCCCCTGCTCCTGTTATGTTAGGTATGTGTGTTTCTCTTGTTTTTTTAGTGGACTAAATAGCACCTCACTGCACCAACACCAGCACCAGCTGCCTGCTACACTAGCTGTGCCACCAGAAGCCCCAACACACCCTTGCCCAAGCACGACCCACATCAGCAGCAAGGGCACGCATCACCACTGCCAGTGGCACCAGCACCAGCACCAGCAGCACAAGCTGCCCACTAGCCGTGTCACCAGCAGCCTCAATGTACCCTTGCCTCTCCAGTGCTTTTCCTAGCACCTGTTCTGTGTGATTCTTTCCCCTCCTTCCTTCTGCCCTTCAACTTTTCATACAGCTGCTCTTCAAAGTTGCCATGGCTTCGAGCCCTCAAGTTACACATCAAGTTATGTGACCTGGTTTTGGTGCATCTTTTATTGAAGTAAGAAAGGTTTCAGAATTCAATAACTGCCCTAGGTGGGCAGCATGTGTTCTAGTGTACCTTCAATAATACATCATGCAGTAACGATGATGGATCGAAATCATTGACGCTTTCAGGAGAAAATAAAGCCATTTATTCTTGTACCGTACTAGTATCTGTACTTGGGATATCACGCACTAGGAGATGAGTATTCGATTTAGTGAGATTCTTGGTGCACGTTTAGTAAATAATACTGGTGTTCTCAGATTCTGCTCTCGACACGTGTATTGAATAGCCGCTCCTGCTTTTGGCGGGTATGTGCTTCACGCCTTTCCAATTTTCGCTAAAACCCAAGACCCGAAACCCGACAGGCTTCTCGTGTTTTTCCCTGATGAAATGTTTTGCCATCCCCAACCTCCATCCCTCGTTCTAACCTAGGAGCAGAGCAGCACGTGCGGTGTGACAGGTGGCGCATTGGTCACGCATAGCACGTGTTACATTGGAGTATCTGACATTCCTGAGACGAATTAGTCAAGCCCCTCGAACCAGTCAAGCGAGTCAAACTAGTCAACGCAAGTTAAATCCCGCGCGCCAGCATGGGGCGTCCCGACGCCATGCAGGCAAGGTCCCCCGGCGGCGGCTTCCGCGGGGGATCCCGCGGGAGGGGCGGCTTCCGCGGGGGTTCTCGCGGCAGGGGCAGATCGAGCTCGCCCGGTGGCGGCGGGCGCGGCGGGCGCGGGGACATTAGCGGAGGGAGGGGCGGAGGAAGAGGCGGGGGAAGAGGACTGAGTAGGGGCGGGGGGAGGGGTTTCGGGGGAAGAGGCGGGGGGAGGGGTTTTGGCGGAAGGGGAGGGGGAAGGGGAGACGGAAGAGGCGGCGGAAGGGGCGGCGGAAGAGGAAGGGGGCGATGGAGCGGCGGAGGGGGAAGGGGAGGATACGGCGGCCGCGGTGGCGGATTTGGCGGCGGGAGAGGCGGCGGCTTTGGCGGCGGAAAAAACGGAGGGTTGGACAGCGACGAGGACGAGGCGACGCCGGTAGATGCGGGCTACGAGGTGGCGGAGGAGCTTCCGGAGGAAGCTTCCACGAAGAACCGGCGGTACGATGACGTGGACGTGTACGAGTACGAGCTTCCCGCGGACTTCGAGGTGAGCGAAAACGTTGGCGAGAATAGGATAACTTTCGCTGTATCGTCGCAATGATTTCGCTGTAGTTTCGCAGTAATTTCGCTGAAATTATGGGGCTGCAAAGATGGGTACGAGTCCTGCACTGAAGAGGAAGCGAAGGTAGGAATGGGGCAAAAGGGATAGAAGGGGGTACTTACCCAACAGTTCCCTTTCCCCTTTCCTTCCAACTCTCTTTATCTCCTTCCTTTCCCATCAGGACGAGGCTTTACCGAAGAGAAGCAGATGGGGATGGGGCGAGGGTTAATTCTCCACTCGCACTCTTCGCTCCCCTTCCTTCTTCTTTTCTTTCTTCTCCCCATTCCTTCCTCCTGTCATATCAGGACGAGGAAATCGACGAGGACGAGGCTTTTACCGAAGAGGAGAAGAAGATGGGGATGGGACGAGGGGCGGGGGGGGAGGGAGAGGAAGAGGAGGAGGATGAGGAGGAGGAAGAGGGAGGGGGTATGTTAGATAGTGATGATGAGGAGGAGGATGATGAGGATGAGGAGGAGGAAGAAGAGGAGGAGGATGAGGAGGATAGGGAGGAGGGAGATTGGAGAAAGGGGAAGATGAAGCTTGCGAAATTGAGGGGCCATGGAAAACAGAAAAACGAGGAAGGGGAGAGTGAGGAGGAGGGTGAGGAAGGGGAAGAAGAGGAAGGAGAGGAGGGAGAGGGGGAGAGTGAGGAGGAGGAAGATGACGACGAGGACGAGGAGAAGCATCAGCAACTGCTGGCTGACGTGGTGGCGAGGCAGCAAAGCAGGGAAGGTGAGTCAATAGCATGCAAGGCAGAAGCATCAGCAGCTGCTGGCGGTTGTGGTGGCAAGGCAGCAGCAAGGTAGGGAAGGTGAGGCAAGAGGAAGGGGAGGTTAGGGAGTAGGGTTTAGGGTGGAAGGGAAGAACAGGGTTTCAGGTTTAGGGTTTTGAACAGAGTCGTAATAGTGGAGCCTGGAGCTGAACACAAGGTTCGTGTGCAAGGACTAAGTAAGGCAGAAGCATTGTCAGCAAGTCAAGTCAAGCCAAGTCAAGCCAAGCCAAGTCAAGTCAAGCCAAGTCAAGTCAAATAGGGTAAGAGAGATCGGCGCTCAGGTGTAGGGTTTAAAGATAGGGTCGTAACAGTGGAGCCCGGAGCGAAGCGACACACAAGGTGCGTTGATTTTGAGAATTCTCAAAATCAAGCTCCTATGAATAGGGTCGTAGCAGTGGAGCCTGGAGCGACACACAAGGTGCGTGCGGAGGGAATGGAGAGAATGGGGGTTGTGTGGGTCGGGATGGAGCCTTGGGAGCATGGCATGGCACTCAAGGAAGGAATCAGAGATCTAAGTTTTTACAGGAGGGTTTTTACTGTCTTTCCTTTGCTTTAAGCCTAAGTAGGTTTGCTGCTCGCTGAGAATGTCACAAGACCAGGAGCCTTGGGAGCATGGCATGGCACTCAAGGAAGGAATCAGAGTTCAAGGAATCAGCAGCAGTGGTGGTGGGGTGGCAGAGGGGCTACCCAAGTAGGAGGAGTTCAACCAACCTCTTTGTTTGAGGTTGATTTTGAGAATTCTCAAACTCAACCTCAAACAAAATGGAGTTCAATCAACCTCTCAGCAGCAAAGGGTGCAACCAGTCACTGTCTCGCAACTCTCTGCTCACTGTCTTGCCCTTGTCGTCTCTCCTTCCCCCCGTCTATCCTTCTACCTCATCTTCCCTTGTCTTTACAGCTAGAAAGCCTCGCGGTGCAATAGCACTCAAGGCATCAGCAGTGGTGGGGGAGAGTCTACCCGAGTCAGAGTTCAACCTCACAGCAGCCAAGGCCGCAAGCCGATCCTGCCTCACCCCTCTATGCTCCCTGTCTTGCCCTTGTCGTCCCTCTTTCCCCTCCCTTTTTTCCCCTTGTCTTCACAGCTAGGAAGCCCCGGGGTGCAATAGCATTGAAAGCATCAGCAGTGGTGGGGGAGAGCCTACCTGAGTCAGAGTTCAACCTCACAGCAGCCAAGGGCGCAGCGCTGGCAGCAGCAGCAGACGCAGCAGCAGCAGCCGCGGCAGGAGGGGCTGTTGATTTCCCAACCACTACAGCAGGTTCGGCAGCTGCGTCGGGAGGGTTATCTGTGGAGGATTTGCTTCGGCCGCTGGGGCAGGTCGGGGCTGATCTGTCAGGCTTGGCGAAAGGTTCGGCGGAAGGCTCGGCGGCGGCAGGTTTGGGAGTGGGAGGTTCGGCGCTGGCTGGGCTGAAGAAGCAGATGAGGCGGATTGAGGCGAGTGGCGCTCCTGACACTGGCCCTCTGCCCACTGTGGTTCGGGAGAGACTGGAAAGAAAGTGAGTGGCTTGGGTTTTTTTCTTGGGTACAGTGTAGGGGATAGAGATGGGTGAGTGGTGAAGCAGAGGCGGATTGAGGCGAGTGGCGCTCCTGACACTGGCCCTCTGCCAACAGTGGTAGCGACTGGAAAGAAAGTGAAGTGGCTTGGGGGGAGATGGGCGAACAGATTACAGAGAGTAAAGGGTGAAGAGATGAGGATCGAGGTGAGTGGCGCTCCTGACACTGGCCCTCTGCCCACTGTGGTTCGGGAGAGACTGGAAAGGAAGTGAGTGATTTGGGGTTGCGTGAAGAGAGAACAGAGGGTAACAGGGCTGAAGCAGCAGATGAGGTGAGTTGAGGCGAGTGGTGCTCCTGACACAGGCCCTCTGCCCACTGTGGTGCGGGAGAGGCTGGAAAGAAAGTGAGTGATTTGGTGCAGGGGTTGGGGCCAGGGTTGGGGTGGGGTTGGGGGCTGGGCCGGGGGTTGGGGCTGGGAATGGGATTGGGGCGGGGGTTGGGGCCAGGGTTATACTCATCCCTTCTCCCCCCTTCTCCTCTCCCTTATCCCTCTTCCCCTCCCTCCTCCCCTTCCTCCAGAGCGGCCTACGAGGCCTCCTCCAAGGAAGCCGCCAAGTGGCTTCCCCTGGTGCAGCAGAACCGCCAGGCGCCCTCCCTCAACCTCATCGACGAGATGCCGTCGCTGCCCACGCTCAAGTCAACGGACAAGCTGGTCAACAAGTTCAGACCACAGTCGGAGATGGAGAGGGAGGTGGCTGCTGCGCTGGCGGCTGCAGGGGTGGGGGACGACAGGAAGATAGCGCATGGGGAGGCCTTGGCTCTCAACAAGGTGAGTCCCCCTGTTCTGTGTGGCTGGGGTGGGCTAGGGTAGGTTCTTCCTCTCTCTTCGCCCTCCTCTCCCTCCCTCCCCACGCTCAAGTCAACGGACAGGCTGGTCAAGTGCAGACCACAGTCGGAGATGGAGAGGGAGGTGGCTGCTGCTCTGGCGGCGGCAGGTGTGGGGGACGACAGGAGAATCGCGCATGGGGAGGCACTGGCTCTCAACAAGGTGAGTTCTCAATAAATCTTGGAGCAGAAAGAGCAGTCGGAGATTCGGTCGCTGCTGCCGCCATGGTGATGTCACTTATGAGAATTTATTAGTCGACTCAAAAATCGCCTCATCACACGCTGCTGCCGCCATGGTGATGTCACTTATGAGAATCCTCAAAAGTAACATCACCAAGGTGAGTTGTGCTAAAAAACCTTGGAGCAGAAACAGCAGTCGGAGATTCAATCAACCGCTGCTGCCGCCACTGCCTGTGCTCCTTCCTGTTCTCATGCACACCTGCCCACCCCCCCCCTCCCTCCCCCCCTCCTTCCTCTCCCTCCTTCTCCCCCACCAGATGTCAGTCGAAGAAGCACGGGAGAGAATGAACCGACTGGCCAAGATGCGCTCGCTACCACTGCACCATGCCAGTGCTCGTTCCATTTCCCATGCCCTCACCCTCCTCCCCCACTCCCTCCTTCCTTCCTTCACCTCCCCTTCCGTCCCATCCCGTCCCCTTCCCCTCCCCTCCCTCCCTTCTCCTCCCCTTCCCTCCCCTCCCACCAGATGTCAGTAGAAGAAGCAAGGGAGAGGATGAACCGACTAGCCAAGATGCGCTCGCTGCTGCTGCAGCACGAAGCAAAGGCAAAGCGAGTCAAGAAAATCAAATCCAAAACCTTTCACAAGATGGAAAGGAAGGCGGAAGAGAGGAAGAGAAAGAAGGGGATCGCAGCGGGAGGGGAAGCGGGTGGGGAGGAGGAGTGGGAGGATAAGGAGGCAGCAAGAGAAGCTGCGATAAAGCAGGAGTATTTACGTGCTAAGGAGCGGATGACCCTTCGGCATAAGAACACTTCCAAGTGGGCCAAGAGGATTATAGAGAGAGGAATGGCGGCTAAAGCGGCGGTTGGAGGGCAAGGGACAAGAGAGGCTATAGCAGAGCAGCTAAGAACGCATGCTATGCTGACTAGAAAGATTCATTCGGCGACGATTGGGAGAGGGGAGGGGGAGGATGAGGATGAGGAGGAGGAGGATGGGGAGGGGGAGTGGGGAGAGGAGGGGAGTGGGGAGGAGTCTGGGGGGAGTGAGGGGGAGGAGGCGGGAGGGAAAGGAAGGGGAGGGGAGAAGGAGGGAAGGCGGCTAGTAGCGAGTGCTAAAGCAAGAATACTGAGGGCCCTAGAAGGGAAGGGGGGAGGGGAGGGAGGGGAGGGGGATGGGGCAACGAAGAGTGGTCTTTTTGCGTTGCCGTTTATGGCTAAGGCTATTGAGAGGAGGAGATTGGAAGCTCAGAAAGAGGCTATAGAGGCGATTAAAGACCTAGAGGAGGGGTATGGTGACGGAGAGGATGGGGAGGGTGGGAAGGGGAAGGGGGGAGGTGGAGGAGGGGGTGATGGGTGGGGAGGAGGAGGATGGGGAGAGGAGGAAGAGGAGGGAGAGAGGGTCGGAGCAGGGAGACGAATATTTGGGAATCTGGGAGAGACAGTAGTAGGAGGGGAGGGGCAGGAGGAGAGAGACGAATGGGTGGCAGTGAGAGGGGGGGAAGGGGAGGAGGGAGAGGAGGAGGAAGGAGGGGGAGGGGAGGATGTTGGGGGAGGAGGGCAAGGCAGGGGGGGAAAGAGTGGGGTGAAGAATGCGGGGAGAGGAGGAGGAGGGGCAGAGGGGAAGGGTGGAAGGTTGTTGCAGGAGGAGAGGGAGGCAGCACGGCAGGTGAAGGCGATGCTTGGAGCTGGGAAAGGATTCTCCTTCTCAGGGGTGAGTGGCTGGCTGTGTTGACTTGCAAGGTCTTCTTATGAGTCTGCTTTTGAGTCGACTCAGAAGCAGTCTCCTTCTCAGGGGTGAGTGGCTGGCTGTGTTGATTTGCAAGGTCTTCTAATGTGTTGCAAACAGCCCCTTGCTGGCATGTTCGTGGCTTCGCCCCTTGCTGGCATGTTCGTGGCTTCCCCCCTTGCTGGCATGTTCGTGGCTTCGCCCCTTGCTGGCATGTTCGTGGCTTCGCCCCTTGCTGGCATGTTCGTGGCTTCCCCCCGTTTTGAGGCGCCTCAAAACGATGTTCGTGGCTTCGCCCCTCCCCCCCCCTCCTCCCTGCAGTTGCCCCTTCCCAACAACACTCACGCTCTCCAACTTTTCTCCCCTTCCCCTCCCCCTCCTGCAGTTAGGCGTTGCTGATGAGTCTGCTTCAGCCCCTGTTGACGTGTCAGTGCCCCCATCTAAGGGGGATAAAAACAGTGAGGCGGGAGCAGGGGAGGGGGATTTGCAGGCTTTGCTGCGACACACAGGGAGTGGGGGAGAAACGGGGGTGGGTGAAAATGGGGTGAGGATGGAGGGGGGGGAGGAGGAAGAGGAGGATGAGGAAGGGAGAGAGGAGGGGAGGGCAAGCGGGGGTGAGGGGGGAGAGAGGGGGGAAGGGAGAGTCAGGGCGAAGGGAGGAGAGAGGGGAAAGAGGGGTGATGATTCTGGTAATGGTGCTGTGGGTGTTATGCAGGGTGATTATAGCGAGAGTGAGAGGGAGGATGGGGAGGAGGATATAGACGACGGCGTGGCTTATAACGAGGGGATGCGTTTGGAGAGCAAAGGGGATGCTTCTATGGAGGATGACGCGTGGGGGGAGGATGCAGGGGAGAGATTGGAGAGGGGAGCAGGAGTGGGAATGGAGGAAGAGGAGGGGGAGGGAGGGGAGAAACGGGTAGGCAAAAAGAGAAAGGGACGGGGCAGCGGAGGAGGAGGAGGAGGAGGAGAGGAAGGGAACAAAGCGAGCGCGTTTGAAAAGGGTCAAGACGAGCTGATGCGATTGGCCTTCGCAGGTGATGACGTGGCAGCGGAATTCGAGGCGGAGAAAGAACGGGTGGTGGAAAAGGAGGTGGGGAGAGAGGAGGGGCCGGTGACGCTGCCGGGGTGGGGGCAGTGGGAGGAGGTGCAGAGGCGGAAGGGGGCGCCGAAGTGGATTGAGGAGGAGAGGGAGAAGGCGAAGAGGAGGCGGATGGATGCGGTGAAACAGAGGGCGGATTCGAAGCTGACGCATGTGATTGTATCGGAGAAGGACAATAAGAAGGTGAGTGAAAGGGGGGGGGGAGAGAGGATAGGGCTGGACTGGATAGAGAAGCTGACTCATGTGATTGTATCAGAGAAAGACAATAAGAAGGTGAGTAAAAGGGGGGACGGGAAGGGGTGAGTTGGTGAGTAGAGGAGAGGGAGAAGGCGAAGAGGAGGCGGATGGATGCAGTGAAACAGAGGGCGGATTCGAAGCTGACTCACGTGATTGTATCAGAGAAGGACAATAAGAAGGTGAGTAAAGAGCGGGAGAGGGCAAATTTTGAAATGGTCGGTGTCATTCGTAGGAACCTATTGATAATGACACTTTGCAAAAACTTTCCCACATAGTGTAGATAGAAGGAAGATGGTTGCAACATTGTTTACGTCCTGCCTTCTTTATTTCGGGATTAGCGGTATGTTTTCTTCCACCATCTGCCTCCTTCCATCCAATCCCTCGCACTCTCCTCTCCCATGGGCAGATCGAGAAGTTTTTTGTGCCCGAGCTGCCCAACATGTTCCGCAACCGGGCGGAGTACGCACGCAGCATCCGCAACCCCATTGGGCGGGACTTCAACACAGAAGCAGCGTTCCGCTCCATGACCCGCCCAGCGGTGAGTGCAAATGCAGTGTGTAGGCAGTGGTAGTGGGGAGTACAGAGGCAGTGGGGAGTACAGAGGCAGTGGGGAGTACAGAGGCAGTGGGGAGTACAGAGGCAGTGGGGAGTGCAGAGGCAGTGGGGAGTGCAGAGGCAGTGGGGAGTACAGAGGCAGTGGGGAGTGCAGAGGCAGTGGGAGTGCAGAGGCAGTGGGGAGTGCAGAGGCAGTGGGGAGTGCAGAGGCAGTGGGGAGTGCAGAGGCAGTGGGGAGTGCAGAGGCAGTGGGGAGTGCAGAGGCAGTAAGGAGTTCTCCCTCGTTCCCGCTGTGTGTGCTGTGTATTCTGTGTGTATTGCATGTTTGTTGTATGCTGTTACGACAGGTTATCAAGGTGACTTTTGAGTCGACTCAAAAGTCACCTCGTATTCTGTGTGTATTGCATGTCTGTTGTATGCTGTTACGACAGGATATCAAGCCAGTGGGGATGGTCATTCCACCTGTCAGATATGTCTAGAACTCTCAGCCAAGGAGAGCAGGGGATGCACACTCTTTTCTTTTCTCATTTGTCTGTGTTGTGTTTTGTGCGTGTGTTGTGTGTGTTACTTTCCCCCATGTCATGAAGCCAGTGGGGGTGGTCATTCGACCTGTCAGATACGTCAAGAATGCCCAGCCTGCTGATGAGGAGCCAACACAAGCCGGGGTCGACACATCCCTCCATTTCTCATCTTTCTGTGCGTGTGTTGTGCGTGTGTTGTGCGTGTGTTGTGCGTGTGCTGTGCGTGTGCTGTGCGTGTGCTGTGCGTGTGCTGTGCGTGTGTTGTGCGTGTGCTGTGCGTGTGCTGTGCGTGTGCTGTGCGTGTGCTGTGCGTGTGCTGTGCGTGTGCTGTGCGTGTGTTGTGCGTGTGTTGTGCGTGTGCTGTGCGTGTGCTGTGCGTGTGCTGTGCGTGTGCTGTGCGTGTGCTGTGCGTGTGCTGTGCGTGTGCTGTGCGTGTGCTGTGCGTGTGCTGTGCGTGTGCTGTGCGTGTGCTGTGCGTGTGCTGTGCGTGTGCTGTGCGTATGCTGTGCGTGTGCTGTGCGTGTGTTGTGCGTGTGCTGTGCGTGTGCTGTGAATGTGTTCCCACAGGTCATGAAGCCAGTGGGGGTGGTCATTCGACCTGTCCGATACGTCAAGAATGCACAACCCAGTGAAGAGGAGCCTACAAAGAAAAAGGCAAAGGGAGGGGAGAAGGGGAAGGGAGGGGAGAAGGGCAAGGGAGGGGAGAAGGGCAGGGGTAGTCACGGCAACAAGCATGGGAGAGGGAGGGGTGGCGGTGGTGGAAGTGGTAATGGTGGTGGGAAGGGAAAGGCGGCGGCCGGAGGAGGGAATCGTGCTAAGGGAAATGCCAACCCTGCCAAGTAGTAGCAATGTGATGAGCACGAACAACTGCATGTGGAACTGCAGTTTAGTTCTTCCTCTTCTTTTCTTCTTTGTTCTCTTCTTTTTTTGGTGGTGGTTTTAAAACCGAAATGCAAAATAGTGAACCCAAACCCAACTTGAAAGAGCGCAGGGACGAGTTTGCCGGTCGAAACAAAATTTGGACCGGACTGACAAGTTTGTACCGTTTCAAACGTTGCGGACGTGCAAATCGAACACCTTTGATTGGTTCCCGCCAAAATTGAAACATTCTCCTCGAGTGTGGCGTCGCATTTCTCATTGCTAAGCCCGCACGACAATTGCATAGGCGATCGTTTCAGTCTGTCCAAGCGATTTGGGCCCAGCTTATGTTTCAAGTTGGGATGGGGTGAACTACTACCAATTTTGCGTCGGAAGTTATAAGTAGCTAGGCTAGGCATAGGCTATGTCTGGACTTAGGCCCTCGTTATCTAGACATGTATTAATCAGAATGTCCGTCGTGTTGTATCCGAGATCTACGAGTGTAAGCTTTTCAGTCCGTCCCTATGCGCCCGCGTTTTTCCGTCCTGTCGCCACCGCGATCTCCTCTCGCCTCCCTTACCCACGTGATCACTTCTCCTGCCCCATAGCCCTCCTGTTCCCCCGTCCAGTCACCCGCCCATTCTGCCGTCCCGTCGTCCTCCCGTTCCGTCGCGATCGTCGTCGCCCTTCCGTGGCTCTCCCGTTGCCTTCCCATCGCCCATCCCATCGCCCATCCCATCGCCCATCCCGTCGCCCATACCGTCGCCCATCCCGTCGCCCATCCCGTCGCGCATCCCGTCGCCCATCCCGTCCCTCCCCTCGTCGCCCACGCCAACGCCCCAAAACTCCCTCCCGTCGCCCTTCCTCTCTCCCATCCCGTCGCTCCCCTCGTCGCCCTCTCACACGCCCCGAAACTCCCTCCCGTCGCCCTTCCTCTCTCCCATCCCGTCGCTCCCCTCGTCGCCCTCGCCAACGCCCCGAAACTCCCTCCCGTCGCCCTTCCTCTCTCCCATCCCGTCCCTCCCCTCGTCGCCCTCGCCAACGCCCCGAAACTCCCTCCCGTCACCCTTCCTCTCTCCCATCCCGTCGCTCCCCTCGTCGCCCTCGCCAACGCCCCAAAACTCCCTCCCGTCGCCCTTCCTCTCTCCCATCCAGTCCCTCCCCTCGTCGCCCTCGCCAACGCCCCGAAACTCCCTCCCGTCGCCCTTCCTCTCTCCCATCCCGTCGCTCCCCTCGTCGCCCTCGCACACGCCCCGAAACTCCCCATTGTCGCCCTTCCTCTCTCCTATCCCATCACTCCCTCCCGTCGCCTTTACATCTCTCCCCTCCCATCTCCCGCATCGTCACCCTCGCGCTCGGAAATGCCCTCTCTTCGCTCTTCGCCATCCCGTCCCATCCTCTTTGAAACTCTGTTTTTTCCCTCCCGTTTTTTCTCTTGTGTTTTTTCCCATGTGTAAGGCGGATGAATTGGACGCTGCTCACTGTTTGGAAGAATGAGAGTTGGATGTCGCAAACTTGCAACATTCTTGTGTGCAACTCCAAGTGAACTGGATGCGACAGTTTCGTATGTGCTCGCTCAACATTGATCACACTCATTCAGTGAGGGATCCAAAAGAAAAAACCACAACACTTCCAACCGTCAAAAACATTTTTTTATTAAGTTTGAGACTTTCAAGTGGACCCAACTAGAAGGGGGGGGTCACTATTTTGCATACGGGCTTTAAGAATACGATAGCACGATTGTGGTATGGCCAACCCGTCAAACCTGGCAGTGTAGTTTTGAGATTACCGTCGCTTTTTTATCTTTCCATGTGCACTCCCAGTTGCCGGATGTTTTCAGCCGGATAAAAGCCCCTGGACCTATCAACTAGCTTGAAGTGGAAATGGATAACACACCCATGTACAAGGATCACCATTCATTTCAGCGAAAGAAAAGCACATGCAGGAACAAAGAAAATGCAATGAACACGACTATGCCCACCATACTACTACCCAAGGCCCACCAAAACGGTCTGCCTGAAACGGCACGCCCACAGCGACATAGCAACACAGCAGCAGTGATGATTTTCCCAGCACTTGGCACATAACAGCAGCACACACGGTCAGCACAGGCACATCGACAGTGCGGCACTGTCTAGTAGCACCCTCTGCCAGTCTCCGACATGATATCATTTCGGGCCCCCCTTGCGGCCGTTTTGCTGCGGAAGGGCGGGGAGCGGCTTCTGCGGGCCGTTCTGCTGCGGAAGGGCGGGGAGAGGCTTTTGCGGGCCGTTGATTATGTTAGACACGATCCACGGCGCTGGGTCCACCTGAAGAATCCGCGGCTCATCCGCGTATTCTTGTTTCATTTGAGCGCGTTCATCGCTGAGACTGGCCGGTGCCGCTGTGACGGCGAGGACGTTCAGAGTCGCGACGAGGACAAGGGCGATCAGGAAGAGCGAGCGAAGAGCACCCATGGCTGAGACAAGCTTGACACGAGGGAAGCAGTTCTTGGGCTGTTTGGGACTCCGGTTTAAAGTGCCCTAGTAGTCACTGTACTGGAGGCTGAGGATGATAGGATTACGTTAAAGGCAGAACTATAAGTAGTAAACGTCCTCTGGAACTGGGGATATGCGTCTCCCTCTCCCCAACCACACTCACATAATTGGAACGCGCCGCGTTTTGCGGTGAAAACGACCTTACCTCAAGAGTATAGCGTCAGTCAGGCCAATTTCGGCGTGTTGCGGCTCGAAAGAAACCGAGGCGGAATTCACCGTGCTTATCGAAGCGCCTTAAATTATTGCTGAGTCTCGCAGCGTCAAGTGCGGCGCCGATCGCTAGGGTGCTTGGGTGATTGAGATCACTCTGGCGTATATAATTCAGAAGTATGATGCGCTAAAATTGGGTTGGGTTTCTGCTGATGAGACGATGTGAAGGAGAGAGGTTGAGGGGAAGAGATGGGTTTCGGAAGGTAATTACCAATTACCAGTGGTGAAGAGGCATTCCAGGGGTTGTCTGCCTGGACTTGAAGGCGCTTCGGGGCTGGGGCCAAGCAGACCAAACGCTTCGAAAGTTTCTGCTTGAGAAATCACAATTTTCGGCGGGATGTGCGGAGAAACGGAATTTGCACAGGCCCAAGCGCAATTATTCACACGCACCTCACGTTCCGACTCCTGTGTCCCAATCTAAGGTAACTTTCCAGATTCGTTACTCTGCATAAAGCGTACAGCACTACACTACTGTTCTCCCTTAAAAGATTTACGACGTTGGCCACGCCGCACGTCACTTTCACCAGACGACACACCGTTGTCTTTGGCCGTGTTACGAGTAGTAATTATTGTGCACTCCAGACCGCACTAGGGAAGCACGCAGTATCGAGAACGAATGCGAAGAGTCAGAGTTGACTCGAAGCGTCAGACAGTTGGAGTGCATCTGGACCGTCGGAGCAGACAGCATCGGGCAGCTGCAGGCAAGAGGTTTTTGGCGGGAACAGTTTCGTAACTGTACGCGCCGCAAGGTTGGGAATGAATTTGAATAAGGGAATGTACCCCTTAGAGTACATGGCTAGTTAGGTCGATTCGAATTCCTCTGTACTCATATTTATATCTTTGTGTTTGCATGTTTTATCATCTCAAGCATTTTACATCCACTCTGCTATTGAGGTCAAGGGCCCACCATTACTACCTATCTGAGCGAACCTTCCTGAGTAGATCCTGGGAGCGATCACCTTCTGATCCCAGCATGGTATGAGAGCGACTCGGGAATCTTTCGCATTGCCACCCCCTGAAATCTGCGACATTCGGAAAGTGGCGTCCGGCACACGATCGCGTGTGAGAATGGCCGGAGGATCTGGTGGTCAGACTAATCTGACGGCTGAAGCGCAACCCAACCCGGCTGCGACAAACGAGGCAACGACGACAATCGGAACCGAAGTCCTCGCGCAACTACTTCAGCGACTCACCAGCTTGGAGCAAGGACTCCAAACATTGCGGAATGGCGACGCGGGTACCTCCTCGCAACCTTCTCAACCGGCCTCAAACGGCCAGAACGCCGCCCCGCACACCTTCTCCCTCGACACAAATGGTTCAACCCCCAAGACTCCCCGTCCCAGCGAAGAGGCAATTCTCTCTGCGCAATCGAGGTTTCTCGGCATATCAAAAATAATGACAAATGTGTGCTTTGACGGCCGAGTTTTCTATACCTGGAGCTTCGAGCTGGAACTCCTGCTGCAGAACGCCCAGATTTTCCACTACTTTGATGGGAGTTACGCGGAGCCGGCTGAAGATACCGACGACGCCAGAGCAAGGTACTACAACGAATCCTTGCTGGCGTACGGTATCCTCCTGCGCAACATGTCGCCGGCGGAGCAGTTGAGCATTCGCTCATACAAAACATCGCCTGCTCCAGCCCTTGCAGCCTGGCGCCATCTGACTGGCGTGTATCAGTCGAAGGACTCTGTCTCTTCGAGTCGGCTGCTTCAGCAGCTGCTGGAAACCAAAATGGCCCCAGGGGAGAAGGCCAACAGCTACATCAATCGCTGTCGGAGCCTTCGCGATCAAATCGTGAAGTTGGGAAGCACGATTTCCGAAGAAATCTTCGTGAATATCGTCCTTCAAGGGCTCAGACCGGACTGGCGGCCCTGCATGGCGCTACTCCGACAGCAGGGGGTCATCTCGGAGGCCGCCCTTTGCGCCGCCCTTCTCGTCGAACAACGGGATATGGATCAGCAGCGACCAGCGCCACGACGAGAACGAGAACGGCTCGCCTTCTACGCCGACAACAACGAAGAGCGACGACCGCGGCGCCTCTACTGCAAAATCTGCAGAAGCTTTGGGCATTTGGCGGATCGATGTAAATCCCGATCTCGCCCTCGCCAGACCAATCCGAGCAACTGGTCCGGTCGACAAGACGCACGAGGCGACGTGCGTCCAGCCCAGGGGTATCAACCCTCACCCGCGCGCAACCTGAACCCTGCGGTTCAGCATCAGCAGCATCAGCCATCGTCTGCCCCAATCCGCAACGTCATGAGCAACATGGCCATGACGGGCGAGTCACGTCGTCGTCGCGTGCGCTCACCATCACCTGAGCCAGCACCGCATCCGATCGGCGCGTTACTTCACCGATGACGACGACCAGGGCTGGAATCTCCCAGTCCCGCTGCTTGAAAGTCCCCCGCACATACCTGACATGCGGGCGGCGCCACTCGATTGGCTCTCGCGCGAGCAATTTCTGAAGTTCGACACTCCGCACATCGTCACGCCGCGATTGGCGCTGCTCGCACGTGACGAAACCAAGCGCTATAATACTTGGTACCTGGACAGCTGCTGCGGCCAGCATATGGTGGGCTCCGAGCGTTACATATCCAACGCCGTCGCCACCCCCTCAGTCACCTACGTCACCGTGGCTAACAACACTCGCCTGCGCGCAAGCGCGCAAGGCATCGTCGTGCTCCAGGCACACGGAAGCCGCACGCACAGCACGCTCAACGATGTGCTGATCGTCAAGAACCTGCGCTTCAACCTGCTTTCCGCCGCTCAGCTCATGGACTGCGGCGTTGACTTCAGCACGGATCGCGCGACGCGCGACATTCTGCTGCATTATGAATCACGAACCTTTCCTCGCAGACAAATCGGCAGAGCGCACTCCGAAAATGGAGTGTATGTCCTGGATTTCGACATCCCCGATTTGCAGCGGCGACTCGCACGAGTTAATCGATCTCGTGCCACTTCGGTTCGAACGTATCCACCGCAGGGATTGGAAGCACCCTGATGGCAGACCGTGGGTGCCGCATCATCCCCACCCACGCGAAATGGCGCTGCATGATCCCGACGCAGACGGCATCTGCAGAGACTGCCACACGCCAACGGCGTCAACCAGCGCAATTGCCGGCCGCGGACTCGCCGCGATTGCCGAAGCCGAGCGCCACGCGCCGCCAGAAGAAGGAATGTCATAGCTGGAACTCGAAGTTACAACACGGGGCGTGTTCGGCGCGCCAGACCACCCCCTCACCGGATTACCCTCCCAGCATCTCCAAGGAATGCTGCACGGCACCGGCACCTTCGACGCACACGGCGTGCCGCGCCCCTACACCTGCGAGAAATTCCTGGAAGTTTACCCCCTTCGGCGCGACTCGTCGCAGAAGCTTACCGTGGAACAAGAAGAGGAGTTGGCGCGTCACGAAGTTGAGGAGCTTCGCCAACAAAGCCTCGCCGAAGCATGCGGGACTTTCGCTTGCGGCGCATGGGGAGCCGAAGCCGAAGAAAGCGCCTCCAATGAAGGGGGGTGGGGAAGCACTGGCAGATGGGGAACGAGTGACGGATGGGGAACCGGCGGCGGAACATGGGCTGGCGCAAGCGGAGGATGGGGCGCCGCAACTGGCGCCGACGATAGCGGCTGGGGAACTTTCCGCGAAGAACAAAAGGGGGGAGAGGATGAAGCAGAGGCAACACCTGCAGTTGTTCCTCTTGGTCGTCCCCCGCGTCGCGCTCCCCTCGCATTACCTCCTCCTGACAACCCACCGCGCCGCGATCCATGGGACACCATCGACTGGGGTAACGAGCCGTCGAC